AAGGTGAATTTGTTGCAGAGGTTTAATAGTTCGTGTGTATGTTTATATTCATCTGAGCTGCCTCCCGGGGTGATTTCTGCTAAAACATTGTTTGCTATTCTCCTCCATTTTAGGTGTCTCAGGTTGAAATCTCCTAGTGGTAAGATGTTTGGGGCAGGAGTTGGGAGATTTTCCAGACTGGTCAATTTTCTCAAGCTGCTCCTGGAATTGCCGGGAAGTTGCACCTGGAGGCTTGTATACTACCACAATGACAAGGTTTTGGTTTTCGATCTTTACCCCCAAAACTTCAACTACATCATTTAGGGTGTTTGGTAGTACTGTGCAAATGAGCGACTCTGTGACATACAGGACAACCCCATCTTGTTGTCTGTTTAGTCTGTCGCATCGGAATAGGTTATAACCTGGGATCCATATCCATATTGTGCCAAAACAAAAGCATTCACATTGCTAAACTCACAAATTATGATGTAGTCACTTAGCCTTAATACTATAATCTGTAAGGATTTAATGTTAAGAATTAATCTAAGTCTGCTCGAAATGCCTAGCCATGCTAGGTGTCCTAGTGGCCCCCTCTGTAATTAGTATTTTATAACATGTAAACCACAAAATACCCAGAACCTGTAAATCCCACATTGTAACCATTATAGAGAATAAACTTGAATTGAATTGAATTGAATTGTCATAATGATCCTTTATGTGGGTCTCTGTGAATGCTGCAAACATTGCATTTGACTCCATGAGCAGTCCCTTGATGTAAGGAATTTTGTTGTTTTTTTGACGGCTTTAGACCCTGTATGTTTGCAAGGACAAATGTCGTATTGGTGGAATTTAGGAGAGTTTTATTTGCTGGCTCTAATATCTGTTGTTCTGGGGTAGAGGCCAGTGTCTGTGCCTCTGCTCCAGAAGTGTTTTCAGGTGGTGTAGGATTATTGTCATTTCTTGCCAGTCTTTTGTCCCTCCTGGCCCTAAAAAAAACTCTGTCCCTGGAGAGGTTGTGGCTCCTCTCTGTTTCCCATAGTCTGACTGGTCTGTGTCTTCTAGTCCCCTTTAGATGATGCACCTGGCAGTATGTATTGTAACATTTTCTTTCATGGATTGATGAGTGACACATTTCTGGGTGAAATAGGTTGCAAAAAAGGAAGTTGTACTCTCTTGTTGTCATGTAGGTGCCGCATTTTTTGATTATTATTATTATTAGAATAAAAAAGAAGCGCTAAGCCACAAGGGCTATACAGCGCTCGCATTTTTTGAGATGGTCAAAGGTGCATGTCCCACCTGTTTTACCAGATATACCGTTCCTGGAGGTTACCTGGAGGTTATTCTGGGGATCAACGCCCCCGCGGCCCGGTCCATGACCAGGCCTCCCGATGGATCAGGGCCTGATTAACTAGGCTGTTACTGCTGGCCGCACGCAGTCCAACGTACGAGCCACAGCCCGGCTGATCCGGCACTGACTTTAGGTATCTGTCCAGCTTTCTCTTGAAGGCAGCCAGGGGTTTATTGGTAATTCCCCTAATGCTTGATGGGAGGCTGTTGAACAGTTTTGGGCCCCGGACACTTATGGTGTTTTCTCTTAGTGTACCAATGGCGCCCCTACTTTTTATTGGGGGCATTTTGCATCGCCTGCCCAGTCTTTTACTTTCGTAGGGAGTGATTTCTGTGTGCAGATTTGGGACCATTCCTTCCAAGATTTTCCAAGTGTAGATTATGATATATCTCTCCCTCTTGCGTTCCAACGAGTACAAGTCAAGTGCTTCCAAGCGTTCCCAGTAGTTAAGGTGTTTGACAGAACTTATATTCTCAGTAGTAGTAACCAGTTACCAGTAACCAGTGTACCGTTGACTCAACGACCAACCGTCTCTGCCTGAGTCACTGTCTATTCATATTGAGCTGACCTGGCATTATTCAAAGACCCTCTATGGGTACGTGGGCGGCCGGTCAGTTAGTGTTACGAGTGTGAGCAAGGAGATAGGTACGGTTGCAAGGGCTCTCTCCACATATCTGCAATTATACGTAATAACAGCCTACGTGAGTATTTCTTACCTAATCCACGTGTCGAACTCCCACATGATAATATGTGCAGTAAAGGATCTCTGTACACTCTCTAGATCTGCGATTTCACCTGCTTTGAATGGAGATGTTAATGTACAGCAGTATTCTAGCCTAGAAAGAACAAGTGATTTGAAAAGGATCATCATGGGCTTGGCATCTCTCGTTTTGAAAGTTCTCATTATCCATCCTATCATTTTCTTTGCACGTGCGATCGTGGCACTGTTGTGATCCTTGAAAGTGAGATCCTCAGACATTACTACTCCCAGGTCCCTTACATTATTTTTCCGCTCTATTGTATGGCCGGAGTCAGTAGTATACTCTGTTCTAGTTATTATCTCCTCCAGTTTTCCATAACGGAGTAGATAAGATAAGATAAGATAAGATTTCGTTCGGATTTTTAACCCCGGAGGGTTAGCCACCCAGGATAACCCAAGAAAGTCAGTGCGTCATCGAGGACTGTCTAACTTATTTCCATTGGGGTCCTTAATCTTGTCCCCCAGGATGCGACCCACACCAGTCGACTAACACCCAGGTACCTATTTGCTGCTAGGTGAACAGGACAATAGGTGTAAGGAAACGTGTCGAATGTTTCCACCCGCCGGGAATCGAACCCGGGCCCTCCGTGTGTGAAGCGGGAGCTTTAGCCACCAGGCCACCGGGCCACTGTAGTTGGAATTTGTTCTCATTGAACATCATATTGTTTACCGTTGCCCACTGGAAAACTTTGTTTATATCTTCTTGGAGGTTAACCACGTCCTCAGCAGATGACAGCCTCATGCAGATCTTAGTATCATCCGCATAGGATGATACGGTGCTGTGGTGTATATCTCTGTTTATGTCTGATATGAGGATAAGGAATAAGATGGGGGCGAGTACTGTGCCTTGTGGAACAGAGCTCTTCACTATGGCAGCCTCCGATTTAACTCTGTTGACCACTACTCTTTGTGTTCGATTTGTTAGGAAGTTGAAGATCCATCTCCCCACTTTCCCAGTTATTCCTTTAGCACGTATTTTATGGGCTATTACGCCATGATCGCATTTGTCAAATGCTTTTGCAAAGTCTGTGTATATTACATCTGCATTCTGATTTTCTTCCAGTGCATCCAAGGCCATGTCATAGTGATCCAGTAGTTGTGAGAGGCAGGAGCGACCTGCCCTGAACCCATGTTGCCCTGGATTGTGCAGATTTTGGGAATCCAGGTGATTTGCAATCCTGCTTCTTAGCACTCTTTCAAAGATTTTTATGATGTGGGACGTCAGAGCTATTGGTCTATAGTTCTTAGCTAATGCTTTGCTGCCACCTTTATGGAGTGGGGTTATATCCGTTGTTTTAAGTGACTGTGGAATTTCACCCATGTCCAAGCTCCTCCTCCATAGTGTACTTAGGGCACGCGAGAGGGGTTTCGTGCAGTTCTTAATGAAAACAGAGTTCCACGAGTCTGGGCTCGGGGCTGAGTGCATAGGCATGTTGTCAATGGCTTTTTCGAAATCTATCGGAGTTAGGGTAATGTCGGAAATCTGGCATCCCATTTTATGGAGTTTTGAGGTCATTCATGAAGAAATCATTTGGGTCGTCGATCCTCAGACCGATTAGTGGTTCACTAAACACAGAGTCGTACTGGGATTTCAATATTTCACTCATTTCCTTGTTGTCATCTGTGTAAGTCCCATCCTGTCTGAGTAAGGGCCCGATACTAGATGTGGTATTTGCCTTGTTTTTGGCATATGAAAAGAAATTTTTTGAATTTCTTTCAATTTCACTAATAGCTTTAAGCTCCTTCTGCCTCTCCTGGTTCCTGTAAGAGTCATTTAGCTTAAGTTCGATAGTTTCCACTTCCCTGGTCAGCGCCTCCTTTCGTGTATCAGATATTCTAGCACTCCTGAGGAGCTCAGTGACTCTTCGTCGTCTTCTGTAGAGGGAGCGTCTTTTTCTCTCCAGTTTACTCCTGCTCTTCTTCTTTCTTAGGGGAATATGCCTAGAACATGCTTCGGCTACCAGGAAGTTGATCCTTTCAAGGCACTGGTTTGGATCCATGTCATTTAAGACATCTTCCCAACATGTTTCGTTTAGGACATGGTTTACCTGGTCCCAGTTGATGTTGTTGAAGTTGTATTTTGTGAAGACACCTTCACAGGTACATGCATTCTGCTGATCAGTACCCCTATGCATGTACGTCTGGACTTCGATTAGGTTGTGATCGGATACCCAAGGCATAGTATTTACATAGATTGTACTTCTGTTTGCTAGGATTTATTGTAGCTGCGTTCACTGCTGGTGCATTTATTTTTCCTGTTTCCTCAATATTTTTTACCCCTGTATGGACATCAGTGCTTCCACCAGGTTTTGCTGGTAGTGTCGACACTGTTCCCTGAGGCATCATCCCATTTTGATCCATCTCCAGCAGTATCTCTATTTTGCAGTATCTCTATTTTGTCTTCAGTGTCCTCCAGGACAACACTAGGACCCTCTTGAGTACTTTCCTCCAGGACAACTCTAGGACCCTCTGGAGTACTTTCCTCCAGGACAACACTAGTACCCTAATGTTTTTACCCGCACCGGGGATCGAACCACGGACCTCAGTGTGTGAGGCCAGTGCGTCACAAATCGATAGAGAGGGGGAGGCAAGAAGAGAAGATAGGAGGGAAGGAGTGATGGAGAGTGTGTTGTTGGAGGGAGGGAGGGAAGGAATGTTGGAGGGAGTTTTGGAGGGAGGGAGAGTAAGATAACTTAGTAGTGTCTGCGCTCACTGCCAGCCGTATGACCATCTTATTCTTATAATTAACACAAATGTATTCAATTTCCACCAAGAAAACAAACAAAACAAAAAGTTTACCTTCTGTTGATACACAAGATTAAGAAAACATAAGAAAACTGTGTTCACTAAGTATAATAATTCTGCATTTACATAATATTTAAGTGAGGATCCACAACACATGAGAGGGCAGCTAGTAACCTTGTACCCTGGTAACTGTTAACTTATTGCCTCTTACGTGTTACCAGTCGTAACATTATCGTGTTTGGTTCTGTTACAGTTCCCTTGTTGTCAGTGTTACTGGTAAGATTCCATCTGTTACTTACGTGTTACCAGTCGTAACATTATCGTGTTTGGTTCTGTTACAGTTCCCTTGTTGTCAGTGTTACTGGTAAGATTCCATCTGTTACTTACGTGTTACCAGTCGTAACATTATCGTATCTGGTTCTGTTACAGTAATCTTATGTAATTTGACACAATATATATCATAATCCTTTGTGTTTTGACAGATCGCCATCCTAAATACCTTCTCTAATGAGGAGGTTTTACTTGTGGTTTCCGAGGGGCATCCCTGTGGGTAGGGTCCTATGGTCTTTTGGTGGATCAGGGTCTGATTAATTAACCAGGCTGTTACTACCGGTTACATTCAATCCAGCGTAGGAACCACAGTCCGGCTGGTCAGGTACTGATTTTAAGTACCTGTCCAGCTTCCTGTTGAAGACAGCCAGGGATCTGTTGGCAATCTTTCTTATATATGATGGGTGGCTGTTGTATAGTCTTGGGCCCCTGACACTTACTGTGTTTTTTCTTAGCGTACAGCTGTGGGTCGTTCGTCAGTTTGCGTGCGGCCAGCAGTAACAGCCTGGTTGATCAGATACTGATCCACTACGAGGCCTGGTCTCAGACCGAGACGCGGGGCGTTGGCCCCCAAAACCTTCTCCAGGTATATACAATACACTGTACTCTGTACACAGGACACTGTGTACAGATTTTTGACTAGTCCCTCTAGGATTTTCTAGGTATAAATTATGCTGTACCTTCCTCACCTGCACTCCCAGGATCTACAGCCATCAGATGTGCCATGATGAACTTCTGCATATTTTGCAGATCTCCAATTTAGCCTAACTTGAAAAGGACTTTTAGTTTACTTCAGTTTTCCAGCCTAGATCTTAGTTTACTTCAGTTTTCCAGCCTAGATCTTAGTTTACATCAGTTTCCCAGCCTAGATCTTAGTTTACATCAGTTTTCCATCCTAGATCTTAGTTTACATCAGTTTTACATCCTAGATCTTAGTTTACATCAGTTTTCCATCCTAGATCTTAGTTTACATCAGTTTTCCAGCCTAGATCTTAGTTTACATCAGTTTTCCAGCCTAAATCTTAGTTTACATCAGTTTTCCAGCCTAGATCTTAGTTTACATCAGTTTTCCAGCCTAGATCTTAGTTTACATCAGTTTTCCAGCTTAGATCTTAGTTTACATCAGTTTTCCAGCTTAGATCTTAGTTTACATCAGTTTTCCAGCCTAGATCTTAGTTTACTTCAGTTTTCCAGCTTAGATCTTAGTTTACATCAGTTTTCCAGCTTAGATCTTAGTTTACATCAGTTTTCCAGCCTAGATCTTAGTTTACTTCAGTTTTCCAGCTTAGATCTTAGTTTACATCAGTTTTCCAGCTTAGATCTTAGTTTACATCAGTTTCCAGCCTAGGATCTAGTTTACATCAGTTTTCCAGCTTAGATCTTAGTTTACATCAGTTTTCCAGCCTAGAATCTTAGTTTAACATCAGTTTTCCAGCTTAGATCTTAGTTTACATCAGTTTTCCAGCTTAGATCTTAGTTTTCATCAGTTTTCCAGCTTAGATCTTAGTTTACATCAGTTTTCCAGCTTAGATCTTAGTTTACATCAGTTTTCCAGCCTAGATCTTAGTTTACATCAGTTTTCCAGCCTAGATCTTAGTTTACTTCAGTTTTCCAGCTTAGATCTTAGTTTACATCAGTTTTCCAGCTTAGATCTTAGTTTACATCAGTTTTCCAGCCTAGATCTTAGTTTACTTCAGTTTTCCAGCTTAGATCTTAGTTTACATCAGTTTCCCAGCCTATATCTTAGTTTACATCAGTTTTCCAGCCTAGATCTTAGTTTACTTCAGTTTTCCAGCCTAGATCTTAGTTTACTTCAGTTTTCCATCTTAGATCTTAGTTTACATCAGTTTCCCAGCCTAAATCTTAGTTTACATCAGTTTTCCAGCCTAGATCTTAGTTTACATCAGTTTTCCAGCTTAGATCTTAGTTTACATCAGTTTTCCATCCTAGATCTTAGTTTACATCAGTTTTCCATCCTAGATCTTAGTTTACTTCAGTTTTCCAGCTTAGATCTTAGTTTACATCAGTTTTCCAGCCTATATCTTAGTTTACATCAGTTTTCCAGCCTAGATCTTAGTTTACTTCAGTTTTCCAGCCTAGATCTTAGTTTACATCAGTTTTCCCAGCTTTAGATCTTAGTTTACATCAGTTTTCCAGCCTAGATCTTAGTTTACATCAGTTTTCCAGCCTAAATCTTAGTTTACATCAGTTTTCCAGCCTAGATCTTAGTTTACATCAGTTTTCCAGCTTAGATCTTAGTTTACATCAGTTTTCCAGCCTAGATCTTAGTTTACATCAGTTTTCCAGCCTAGATCTTAGTTTACATCAGTTTTCCAGCTTAGATCTTAGTTTACATCAGTTTTCCAGCCTAGATCTTAGTTTACATCAGTTTTCCAGCTTAGATCTTAGTTTACATCAGTTTTCCAGCCTAGATCTTAGTTTACATCAGTTTTCCAGCCTAGATCTTAGTTTACATCAGTTTTCCAGCCTAGATCTTAGTTTACATCAGTTTTCCAGCCTAGATCTTAGTTTACATCATAACAAGTGCTTGGAGAAGATCACCATTGTCTTGATATTCCTTTTCTTTTTTTGAAGGTTCACATTGTCCTTACAGTTGTGGTAATGACTTGTGGTCCTGAAGGTGAGATCTGTCATTATCACTTGTGGTCCTGAAGGTGAAATCTGTCATTATCACTTGTGGTCCTGAAGGTGAGATCTGTCATTATCACTTGTGGTCCTGAAGGTGAGATCTGTCATTATCACTTGTGGTCCTGAAGGTGAGATCTGTCATTATCACTTGTGGTCCCGAAGGTGAATCTGTTATTATCACTTGTGGTCCTGAAGGTGAGATCTGTTATTATCACTTGTGGTCCTGAAGGTGAGATCTGTCATTATCACTTGTGGTCCTGAAGGTGAGATCTGTTATTATCACTTGTGGTCCTGAAGGTGAAATCTGTCATTATCACTTGTGGTCCTGAAGGTGAGATCTGTCATTATCACTTGTTGTCCTGAAGGTGAGATCTGTCATTATCACTTGTGGTCCTGAAGGTGAAATCTGTCATTATCACTTGTTGTCCTGAAGGTGAGATCTGTCATTATCACTTGTGGTCCTGAAGGTGAAATCTGTTATTATCACTTGTGGTCATGAAGGTGAGATCTGTCATTATCACTTGTGGTGCTGAAGGTGAGATCTGTCATTATCACTTGTGGTCCTGAAGGTGAGATCTGTCATTATCACTTGGGGTCCTGAAGGAGATCTGCCATTATCACTTGTGGTCCTGAAGGTGAGATCTGTCATTATCACTTGTGGTCCTGAAGGTGAGATCTGTCATTATCACTTGTGGTCCTGAAGGTGAGAGCTGTTTTTATCACTTGTGGTCCTGAAGGTGAGATCTGTCATTATCACTTGTGGTCCTGAAGGTGAGATCTGTCATTATCACTTGTGGTGCTGAAGGTGAGATCTGTCATTATCACTTGTGGTCCTGAAGGTGAGAGCTGTTTTTATCACTTGTGGTCCTGAAGGTGAGATCTGTCATTATCACTTGTGGTCCTGAAGGTGAGATCTGTCATTATCACTTGTGGTCCTGAAGGTGAGATCTGTCATTATCACTTGTGGTCCTGAAGGTGAGAGCTGTTTTTATCACTTGTGGTCCTGAAGGTGAGATCTGTCATTATCACTTGTGGTCCTGAAGGTGAGATCTGTCATTATCACTTGTGGTCCTGAAGGTGAGATCTGTCATTATCACTACCACATTATCATTACCACAGTGAGTGGCGCCTTCACTCCAGTACCACAGTGAGTGGCGCCTTCACTCCAGTACAACAGTAAGTGACCCCTTCACTCCAGTACAACAGTGAGTGGCGCCTTCACTCCAGTACCACAGTGAGTGACCCCTTCACTCCAGTACCACAGTGAGTGACCCCTTCACTCCAGTACCACAGTGAGTGACCCCTTCACTCCACTACCACAGTGAGTGGCGCCTTCACTCCAGTACAACAGTGAGTGACCCCTTCACTCCAGTACAACAGTGAGTGGCGCCTTCACTCCAGTACCACAGTGAGTGACCCCTTCACTCCAGTACCACAGTGAGTGGCCCTTCACTCCAAGTACCACAGTAAGTGACCCCTTCATCCATACCACATGAGTGGCGCCTTCACTCCAGTACCACAGTGAGTGACCCCTTCACTCCAGTACCACAGTGAGTGGCGCCTTCACTCCAGTACAACAGTGAGTGACCCCTTCACTCCAGTACAACAGTGAGTGGCGCCTTCACTCCAGTACCACAGTGAGTGACCCCTTCACTCCAGTACCACAGTGAGTGGCCCCTTCACTCCAGTACCACAGTAAGTGACCCCTTCACTCCAGTACCACAGTGAGTGGCGCCTTCACTCCAGTACCACAGTGAGTGACCCCTTCACTCCAGTACCACAGTGAGTGGCCCCTTCACTCCAGTACCACAGTGAGTGGCCCCTTCACTCCAGTACCACAGTGAGTGACCCCTTCACTCCAGTACCACAGTGAGTGGCGCCTTCACTCCAGTACCACAGTGGGTGACGCTTTCACTCCAGTACCACAGTGAATGGAACCTTCACTCCAGTACCACACTGAGTGGCGCCTTCACTCCAGTACCACAGTGAGTGGCCCCTTCACTCCAGTACCACAGTGAATGGAACCTTCACTCCAGTACCACACTGAGTGGCGCCTTCACTCCAGTACCATAGTGACTGGCCCCTTCACTCCAGTTCCACAGTGAGTGGCCCCTTCACTCCAGTACCACGGTGAGTGACCCCTTCACTCCAATACCATAGTGACTGGCCCCTTCACTCCAGTACCACAGTGACTGGCCCCTTCACTCCAGTACCACAGTGAGTGGCCCCTTCACTCCAGTACCACAGTGAGTGACCCCTTCACTCCAATACCATAGTGACTGGCCCCTTCACTCCAGTACCACAGAGAGTGGAACCTTCGCTCCAGTACCACACTGAGTGGCCCTTTCACTCCAGTACTACAGTGAGTGACGCCTTCACTCCAGTACCACACTGAGTGGCCCTTTCACTCCAGTACAACAGTGAGTGGCCTCTTCACTCCAGTACCACACTGAGTGGCCCTTTCACTCCAGTACCACACTGAGTGGCCCTTTCACTCCAGTACCACACTGAGTGGCCCTTTCACTCCAGTACTACAGTGAGTGAAACTTCACTCCAGTACAACAGTGAGTGGCCCCTTCACTCCAGTACCACAGTGAGTGGCCCCTTCACTCCAGTACCACAGTGAGTGGCCCCTTCTCTCCAGTACCACATTGAGTGGCCCCTTCACTCCAGTAGTACAGTGAGTGGCCCCTTCACTCCAGTACCACAGTGAGTGGCCCCTTCACTCCAGTACCACAGTGAGTGGCCCCCTCCAATAGCACAGTGAGTGGCCCCCACTTCAGTACCATAGTGAGTGAATGCCACTCTAGTACCACAGTGAGTGGCCCCACTCTCCAGTACAACAGTGAGAGACCCCACTCCAGTACTACAGTGAGTGGCCCCCCTCCAATTGCACAGTGAGTGGCCCCCACTCCAGTACCATAGTGAGTGGATCCCACTCCAGTACCTCAGTGAGTGGCCCCCACTCCAGTACCATAGTGAGTGGATCCCACTCCAGTACCACAATGAGTGGCCTCCACTCCAGTACCATAGTGAGTGGATCCCACTCCAGTACCACAGTGAGTGGCCTCCACTCCAGTACCATAGTGAGTGGATCCCACTCCAGTACCACAGTGAGTGGCCTCCACTCCAGTACCACAATGAGTGGCCTCCACTCCAGTACCACAATGAGTGGCCTCCACTCCAGTACCACAATGAGTGGCCTCCAGTCCAGTACCACAGTGAGTGGCCTCCACTCCAGTACCACAATGAGTGGCCTCCACTTTCCCGTACCACAATGAGTGGCCTCCACCCTGTACCACAATGAGTGGCCTCCACTCCATGTACCACAATGAGTGGCCTCCACTCCAGTACCACAATGAGTGGCCTCCACTCCAGTACCACAATGAGTGGCCTCCCCCTCCAGTACCACAATGAGTGGCCTCCATTCCAGTACCACAATGAGTGGCCTCCACTCCAGTACCACAATGAATGGCCTCCACTCCAGTACCACAATGAGTGGCCTCCATTCCAGTACCACAATGAGTGGCCTCCACTCCAGTACCACAATGAGTGGCCTCCACTCCAGTACCACAATGAGTGGCCTCCACTCCAGTACCACAATGAGTGGCCTCCACTCCAGTACCACAATGAATGGCCTCCACTCCAGTACCACAATGAGTGGCCTCCACTCCAGTACCACAATGAGTGGCCTCCACTCCAGTACCACAATGAATGGCCTCCACTCCAGTACCACAATGAGTGGCCTCCACTCCAGTACCACAATGAGTGGCATCCACTCCAGTACCACAATGAGTGGCCTCCACTCCAGTACCACAATGAGTGGCCTCCACTCCAGTACCACAATGAATGGCCTCCACTCCAGTACCACAATGAGTGGCCTCCATTCCAGTACCACAATGAGTGGCCTCCACCCCAGTACCACAATGAGTGGCCTCCACTCCAGTACCACAATGAGTGGCCTCCACTCCAGTACCACAATGAGTGGCCTCCATTCCAGTACCACAATGAGTGGCCTCCACTCCTGTACCACAATGAGTGGCCTCCACTCCAGTACCACAATGAGTGGCCTCCACTCCAGTACCACAATGAGTGGCCTCCACTCCTGTACCACAATGAGTGGCCTCCACTCCAGTACCACAATGAGTGGCCTCCACTCCAGTACCACAATGAGTGGCCTCCACTCCAGTACCACATCCAGTGCCTATAAAAAACAGCGAGCCAATATTCAAATATACAAGGTCTTGTGGTGTTCATGAGGAACTAAATATCTTTCTTCAGTGTACTCCTGGTGGAGTTGAATGTGATATTGGTGGCCCTCACAGAGACCCTCACAAGACATCACTTTGTCAATGAAATATGGATGTCAAGGTACAAGTTAGATGCGACGGGACGACCAGGTAACAAGGTGACTGTGACCAATATGTCACAGTGACCTGGTGTCAGACCAGGCTGCGGGGGCGTTGACCCCGAAACTCTCTCCAGGTAAACCACAAATGATGTATTCCTGGAGTATACCTGGAAAGGGTTTCAGGGGTCAGTGCCCCCGTGGCATATATATATATATATATATATATATATATAGTACAAATAGAGACTTATCTTTATAAATATATGATCATTACCATATAATCTATGAGTATGAAATGTTGGTAGATAACACACCAAAATAACAGAATAATTTATTTATATATATGCAAGCCCTTTTTTTTTATAGTAACTTTGCATGTATAAAAACTGTGGGTCTACGATGGAGTTTTGTAACTTTGTAAAGGCCTTACGGGCTTACCCTCCAACACTTTTACAACAATTTATTGCTTTTCAACGTAGTAAATTAATTTGTAATACAGAAAATATTGATAAATATCACAGTGAACACTTTGGGACTTAATTGAGGAAAACGTTTCGCAACACAGTGTTTATCAGTTATACAAGGAAGTGAAAATCAGGAGTTAGTAAACCCCTCAATATATATAAACAGTACAATTTAATAGAAATTTATAAATGTATGTTCTCTGATATTTAAAAAATATTATTATGTTGATATGGCGCATAACAATGTTGATAACAACCCAATGAATATGAACGATAATGATCAACTATACAACCCTGAAGACCGTGGGGTGCAAAAACTACGTGGGTCCAGTACGATGGAGCGGACACTGACAGAGGCCCTTCGCCTGGCGAAACATCCACAACTTAAACAGATGGCGCCCATGAACGTAGCGGAAACAACACAACTAAAAGAAAACATGTAAATAGAACACAATTTAAACTTGGGTCTTAAGAGGAACGTTACGCCACACAGTGCTTCACATGCCATAAAAGACGTGGGGGATTTAGGCTAAACATCTCAAAGTGGAGCCGATGAAACGTCCGAGGCAATCTTCAAAGAAAATAACTGGTCTCTGATCCAGAAAATATGACATGTTGACAGATGGCGCCAAGAACGACCGTGGGGAAGCAACACAACTGACAGATGGCGCCAAGAACGACCGTGGAGAAGCAACACAACTGACAGATGGCGCCAAGAACGACCGTGGGGAAGCAACACAACTGACAGATGGCGCCAAGAACGACCGTGGGGAAGCAACACAATCCTGGAGATGGATGAACCATCAGGTTATGAATTAATTTGCTTTCTTGTGAATTATCTTTTATTCAGAAAGTAACTTGCAATGTTGTACTCCCTGTAATATTTTATGACCTGTAATTCTATAGTACAATATATTTTAATAGTTTCTGTAATGTTTACTTCCTGCAACACTTTAACACGTACTGTAGTTGACCTCCTGTAATTTTTGAAGACCTCCAATAATGTATTAATATCTCCTGTAATGTTTTTGGATCTATAGAAATGTTTCTAGTACCTCCTAGAACAGGTATTCTAAAACAGGTCTAGAACAGATCTCTTGGAACAAGTTTACCTGGAGAGGCGCCTCTAGAACAGTTCTCGCTCTGTAAACAAGTGTCTAGTGTGCTCACTGAGATTGTGATGGTGGCTTCCCTCCACTACGAACAGCTGTATCTTCAGCTTAAGGAAGAGTTAACGGAAGCAAGAAGATTCAGCAACTGAAAGGTATGTTCAAGGATTAATTCCAGAACAACGTCGTCGAGAACAGCTGTGACAGAGATCGTACCAACGACTGGAAGATGGCTGGAATGGAAGGAACAATGTTACAGCTAAGGAAGGTCCAGGAGACTCCTGTGGTGACCAGAAATACCTTCTCAGCACTGACAGATGAGCGTGAGTTGACGACCTTAGACACCCCAGTGAAGACCATCCCAACGAAAATCATCCCAACAAAGCCATTCCGAAGACCATCCCAATGAAGACTGTCGAGTACGTCATGACAAACTCCGCCAGTGAAGGTAAAAATATTGTTTTAGTTGGGGACAGTGAGGTTAAGTTTATAGACGGGGCTTTTTGTCATAGAGACAGGAAGTAGAGGCAGAGGGTGTAGTTTCCTGGAGCTGGGATGGAGGATATTGTTAGCCATCTGGATGACATCATGAGGGATAATAGGAGCAATCCTATTATCTGTCTCAGTGCTGGAGGCAACGATGTTGGCAGACGTAGGAGTGAGGACCTGATTTGCAGGTATGTGTCAACAATAAACATAATTAGGAGGAAGTGGGGGAGCCCTGTAATACCTGGAGTTTACCTGGAGAGAGTTCCAAGGGTCAACGCCCCCGCGGCCCGGTCTGTGACCAGGCCTCCTGGTGGATCAGAGACTGATCAACCAGGCTGTTACTGCTGGCTGCACGCAAACCAACGTACGAGCCACAGCCCGGCTGGTCAGGAACCGACTTTAGGTGCTTGTCCAGTGCCAGCTTGAAGACTGCCAGGGGTCTGTTGGTAATCCCCCTTATGTATGCTGGGAGGCAGTTGAACAGTCTCGGGCCCCTGACACTTATTGTATGGTCTCTTAACGTGCTAGTGACACCCCTGCTTTTCATTGGGGGGATGTTGCATCGTCTGACAAGTCTTTTGCTTTCGTAGTGAGTGATTTTCGTGTGCAAGTTCGGTACTAGTCCCTCTAGGATTTTCCAGGTGTATATAATCATGTATCACTCCCGCCTGCGTTCCAGGGAATACAGGTTCAGGAACCTCAAGCGCTCCCAGTAATTGAGGTGTTTTATCTCCGTTATGCGCTCCGTGAAGGTTCTCTGTACATTTTCTAGGTCAGCAATTTCACCTGCCTTGAAAGGTGCTGTTAGTGTGCTGCAATATTCCAGCCTAGATAGAACAAGTGACCTGAAGAGTGTCATCATGGGCTTGGCATCCCTAGTTTTGAAGGTTCTCATTATCCATCCTGTCATTTTTCTAGCAGATGTGATTGATACAATGTTATGGTCCTTGAAGGTGAGATCCTCCGACATGATCACTCCCAGGTCTTTGACGTTGGTGTTTCGCTCTATTTTGTGGCCAGAATTTGTTTTGTACTCTGATGAAGATTTAATTTCCTCGTGTTTACCATATCTGAGTAATTGAAATTTCTCATCATTGAACTTCATATTGTTTTCTGCAGCCCACTGAAAGATTTGGTTGACGTCCGCCTGGAGCCTTGCAGTGTCTGCAATGGAAGATACTATCATGTAGATTCGGGTGTCATTTGCAAGGGAAGACATGGTGCTGTGGCTGACATCCTTGTCTATGTCAGATATGAGGATGAGGAACAAGATGGGAGCGAGTACTGTGCCTTGTGGAACAGAGCTTTTCACCGTAGCTGTCTCGGACTTTACTCTGTTGACTACTACTCTGTGTTCTGTTAGTGAGGAAATTATAGATCCATCGACCGACTTTTCCTGTTATTCCTTTAGCACGCATTTTGTGCGCTATTATGCCATGGTCACACTTTTGCAAATTCTGTATATACTACATCTGCATTCTTTTTGTCTTCTAGTGCATCTAGGACCTTGTCATAGTGATCCAATAGTTGAGACAGACAGGAGCGACCTGTTCTAAACCCATGTTGCCCTGGGTTGTGTAACTGATAGGTTTCTAGATGTGTGGTGATCTTGCTTCTTAGGACCCTTTCAACGATTTTTATGATGTGGGATGTTAGTGCTATCAGTCTGTAGTTCTTTGCTGTTGCTTTACTGCCCCCTTTGTGGAGTGGGGCTATGTCTGTTGTTTTTAGTAACTGTGGGACGACCCCCGTGTCCATGCTCCCTCTCCATAGGATGGTAAAAACTCGTGATAGGGGCAGAGTGCATGGGCATGTCATTTATCGCCTGTTCGAAGTCATTTGGCGTCAGGATAACATCAGATAGGCTTGTGTTAACCAAATTCTGTGGCTCTCTCATAAAAAATTAATTTTGATCTTCGACTCTCAGTCTGGTTAGCGGCTTGCTAAAAACTGAGTCATATTGGGACTTGAGTAGCTCACTCATTTCCTTGCTGTCATCTGTGTAGGGCCCATCTTGTTTAAGTAGGGGCCCAATACTGGACGTTGTTCTCGACTTCGATTTGGCATAGGAGAAGGGAGGTACTACCGTCCTGTGGTAGTAGGTTGGTAGACAACAACCACCCAGGGAGGTACTACCGTCCTGTGGTAGTAGGTTGGTAGACAACAACCACCCAGGGAGGTACTACCATCCTGTGGTAGTAGGTTGGTAGACAACAACCACCCAGGAAGGTACTACCGTCCTGTGGTAGTAGGTTGGTAGACAACAATCACCCAGGAAGGTACTACCGTCCTGTGGTAGTAGGTTGGTAGACAACAACCACCCAGGAAGGTACTATCGTCCTGTGGTAGTAGGTTGGTAGACAACAACCACCCAGGGAGGTACTACCATCCTGTGGTAATAGGTTGGTAGACAACAACCACCCAGGAAGGTACTACCATCCTGTGGTAGTAGGTTGGTAGACAACAACCACCCAGGAAGGTACTACCATCCTGTGGTAGTAGGTTGGTAGACAACAACCACCCAGGAAGGTACTACCATCCTGTGGTAGTAGGTTGGTAGACAACAACCACCCAGGAAGGTACTACCATCCTGTGGTAGTAGGTTGGTAGACAACAACCACCCAGGAAGGTACTACCATCCTGTGGTAGTAGGTTGGTAGACAGCAACCACCCAGGGAGGTACTACCGTCCTGTGGTAGTAGGTTGGTAGACAACAACCACCCAGGAAGGTACTACCATCCTGTGGTAGTAGGTTGGTAGACAACAACCACCCAGGGAGGTACTACCGTCCTGCCAAGTGAGTGTAAAATTGAAACCTGTAATTGTTTTACATGATGGTAGGATTGCTGGTGTCTTTTTTTTTTCTGTCTCATAAACATGTAAGATTTCAGGTACGTCTTGCTACTTCTACTTACACTTAGGTCACACTACACATACATGTACAAGTATATATATACACACCCCTCTGGGTTTTCTTATATTTTCTTTCTAGTTCTTGTTCTTGTTTATTTCCTCTTATCTCCATGGGGAAGTGGAACAGAATTCTTCCTCTGTGAGCCATGCGTGTTGTAAGAGGCGACTAAAATGCCGGGAGCAAGGGGCTAGTAACCTCTTCTCCTGTATATATTACTAAATGTAAAAGGAGAAACTTTCGTTTTTCCTTTTGGGTCAACCCCCCCTCGGTGGGATACTGCCGGTGTGTTGAAGGAAAGAAGAAAGATATATATGTGTGTGTGTGTGTACTCACCTATTTGTGGTTGCAGGGGTCGATTCATAGCTCCTGGCCCCGCCTCTTCACTGATTGCTACTAGGTCCTCTCTCTCCCTGCCCCATGAGCTTTATCATACCTCGTCTTAAAACTATGTATGGTTCCTGCCTCCACTACGTCACTTTCTAGGCTATTCCACTTCCTGACAACTCTATGACTGAAGAAATACTTCCTAACATCCCTTTGACTAATCTGAGTCTTCAACTTCCAATTATGACCCCTTGTTTCTGTGTCCCATCTCTGGAACATCCCGTCTTTGTCCACCTTGTCCATTCCAAGCAGTATTTTATATGTCGTTATCATGTCTCCCCTGACCCTCCTGTCCTCCAGTGTCGTCAGGCCAATTTCCCTTAACCTTTCTTCGTAGGACATTCCCTGTAGCTCTGTAAGTAAGTAAGTAAGTAAGTAAATTTATTCAGGTATACACAATACAGTTACATAGAATTATCATACATAGCAGCATATGTGTAGAGAACCTGGGATAACCCAAAAAAGTCAGACAGAGTGACTTATTTCTTATGTCTTGTTGCAAACCTTTGCACTTTCTCTAATTTCTTGACGTGCTTGACCAGGTATAGGTTCCAAACTGGTGTTGCATACTCCAGTATGGGTCTGACGTATATGGTGTGCAGTCGTATATGGCCTGTAGCCTGTCCAGGTCTCTTTGTAGTCCTGCCTGATCCTCGACCGATTTGATTCTCCTCATTAACTTCACATCATCTGCAAACAAGGACACTTCTGAGTCTGTCCCTTTCTTTGTGTATGTGTGTGTGTGTGTGTGTGTGTGTGTGTGTGTACTCACCTAATTGTGGTTGCAGGGGTCGAGACTCAGCTCCTGGCCCCGCCTCTTCACTGATCGCTACTGGATCCTCTCTCTCTCTGTGTGTGTGTATGTATGTGTGTGTGTGTGTGTGTGTGTGTGTGTGTGTATGTGTACTCACCTAGTTCTGCTCACCTAGTTGAGGTTGCAGGGGTCGAGTCCAAGCTCCTGGCCCCGCCTCTTCACTGGTCGCTACTGTGTGTGTGTGTGTGAAAATTCTCCGTTTATGTGTAAGTAATTGTTAACATGCTTGCATTATATGTGCTGGAACAGGAGCTGGAAGAGCAGTACTCCCCCTCGAGGTGGTCCAAGCGATACTCAGCCCAGGAGATCATCAATGTACACGTGAGAGTAGTTAAAGATCTCTCCCAGGCTGCCAGGGAGACCGTCAGCCACCGCATCGACGTCCCATACGGTCCAGGACCCAGAGCTAAACTTGATGTATATGGCGAGGACCTCCCACCAGGTACTAACAACATTAACAATAGACAAAAAGTACAATAAATAATAGATTGTACTATAAAATTTAGAGGTAAAAAAGGCTGAATGGTTTTTATTGTTTTTCCATATGACTTATACACTCAGTGGTCAGTTTAGTACTGGGTAGGGAATCCCTATTTGGCCCGAGAACATCTGCATTCTTGGTGGCATGGATTCAACAAGGTGCTGGAGACATTCCTTATAGATCCTTGTTAACATGACAGCATCACGCACTTGCTGCACAGTTGTCGGCTGTATATTCATGCTGTGATTCTCCCGAAAGCAAATTCTTGGTTAGTTTTTTGGGAAAACACTGGACACATAGATGGGTGGTGTTGATAAGAACCTGCCTTGTATGGGCCAGTAGGCCTTCTGCAGTGTTCCACCATTCTTATGTTTTTAATAACATCTCAAAGACTAATGCCAGATTCTGACCATCTGTATGTCACACCAGAAATTGCGGTTTTTCTGACCAGAAGAATTTTCTGGTCTTGGTTCTCTCAGTTTGTTCACCAGTTCACCACCTTATAAATTATGATTATAATTATATGTGTTAGGTAAGACACATATGCAACAGTTAGGTATCTTTATTTCGAAACGTTTCGCCTACACAGTAGCCTACTGTGTAGGCGAAACGTTTCGAAATAAAGATACCTAACTGTTGCATATGTGTCTTACCTAACAATCTGTCGGTATTTTATACCATTTTAATGTTCATTATTATATGTATCTATATTAACATTCGCTGGTAATACTTATAGTAAATAATAACAATAATTTTGGTCTAATCTTGAAAAGTCACATATTTTATTTTTAAATAATTTCTGAATGAAAAGTAATTATATAATGAACGATAAAAAATATATATACTAAAAAATATATTGAAAATTTGTGTTGATATTTAGGTACATAATAAACGCAATAAATAAGAAATAAGTTTATTGAGTTTGATGTACACATAAATACAGTTATAATACATATTAACATATATGCAAATCACCTATGTGATTTATGTCCATTAAGGTCCTTATAATATCTTATTTAAATATTGTTCCCGTATTTACCTCTTCAATGAATGGGAATCTATCCCTTCTGTCATGCCATTTACATATACCAGAAACAGCACTGGTCCTAGGACTGACCCTTGTGGAACCCCGCTCGTCACAGGCGCCCACTCTGACACCTCGTCACGTACCATCATTCATTGTTTCCTTACTGTCAAGTATTCTCTGATATACACACTGAATACCTCTCAGCTATTTTGTATAATACAAAACTTACTTCTTGTGTGACAATATATGGGTTTGAGTTTGAGAAGGACCTGCCAAGTATGGGTCAGTACGCCTCCTGCTGTGCTTCTCCTTTCTTGTGTTCTTAACTCACTGTGTTGGTAGAGAGCGCCATAGTGGTATGGGTACACGGAGGATACTGGCAAGAGATTGAGAAGGATATCTCAGCGTACCTGGTGCAGCCTCTCTACCACCACGGCATCCTGACCCTGGTTGTTGACTACGATCTGGCGCCACAAGGTGGGTGTTCACCACAGCATCCTGACCCTGGTTGTTGACTACGATCTGGCGCCACAAGGTGGGTGTTCACCTAACTTTCCAAGGTATGTGTTCACCTGGTATATCAAGGTATGTGCTCACTTGGTACATCAAGGTGGGTGTTCACCTGGTATATCAAGGTAGGTGTTCACCTGGTATATCAAGGTATATGCTCATCTGGTATATCAAGGTGGGTGTTCACCTGGTATATCAAGGTAGGTGTTCACCTGGTATATCAAGGTATATGCTCATCTGGTATATCAAGGTGGGTGTTCACCTGGTATATCAAGGTAGGTGTTCACCTGGTATATCAAGGTATATGCTCATCTGGTATATCAAGGTGGGTGTTCACCTGGTATATCAAGGTATGTGTTCACCTGGTATATCAAGGTAGGTTTTCACCTGGTATATCAAGGTATGTGTTCACCTGGTATATCAAGGTAGGTGTTCACCTGGTTATCAAGGTGGTGTTCACCTGGTATATCAAGGTGGTGTTCACCTGGTATTTCAGATAGGTGTTCACTGGTATATCAAGGTAGTGTTCACCTGGTATATCAAGGTGGGTGTTCACCTGGTATATCAAGGTAGGTGTTCACCTGGTATATCAAGGTAGGTGTTCACCTGGTATATCAAGGTAGGTGTTCACCTGGTATATCAAGGTATGTGTTCACCTGGTATATCAAGGTAGGTGTTCACCTGGTATATCAAGGTGGGTGTTCACCTGGTATATCAAGGTAGGTGTTCACCTGGTATATCAAGGTGGGTGTTCACCTGGTATATCAAGGTAGGTGTTCACCTGGTATATCAAGGTGGGTGTTCACCTGGTATTTCAAGATAGGTGTTCACCTGGTATATCAAGGTAGGTGTTCACCTGGTATATCAAGGTGGGTGTTCACCTGGTATATCAAGGTGGGTGTTCACCTGGTATATCAAGGTAGGTGTTCACCTGGTATATCAAGGTAGGTGTTCACCTGGTATATCAAGGTATGTGTTCACCTGGTATATCAAGGTAGGTGTTCACCTGGTATATCAAGGTGGGTGTTCACCTGGTATATCAAGGTAGGTGTTCACCTGGTATATCAAGGTAGGTGTTCACCTGGTATATCAAGGTAGGTGTTCACCTGGTATATCAAGGTAGGTGTTCACCTGGTATATCAAGGTAGGTGCACCAGGCAGGTATGGTGCACCAGGCAGGTATGGTACACAAGGCAGGTATGGTGCACCAGGTAGGTATGGTACACCAGGTAGGTATGGTGCACCAGGCAGGACAGAGGGTAGCCAGGAGCCAGTCAAGGGGGTAGAGCCCTTGGCAGTAGGTCAGGTGAGCATAAAGTTAGAGGATAGATCATGAGGGTAGACCAAAGGGCCTACCATCCACTGGCCACTTGCTAAACAGGAGGGTAGATATACTGTCTACATTTTGCTCAGCCATGCACCTCGGTTCATCCCTACCCGACAGCACCAGTGTGCAAGAAAGAAAAATTTAAATACACTCACGGTACTTGGCTATTGGCTTACCCTTATACAAGCATGATTAATTTAGCAGGACTCAAACACTCTCCCACAACCGGGAAGAGAAAATGGCTTGCTACTTCATAGTGCTGCATGGAACCATGGGACGTCAGGACACCACTGGAGTCTCTTATGGTCGGGTTGTTCACAGGGCTGCACTGAGGGTCAGGTATTGTTTACATGTCAAAGTTGAACCATCCACACATCTGTGTAATAATGACTGGCAGTAGCATTTCCTAGGGTGTGCCATGCGACATGAAAGGGCGGCACTGCCCTGGCCTATGATGTAGACCGCATAGTACAAGCTACCTGCAGGCAACTTGCAGTTAAAGCATATTAAGGGTAGTGTTAGAACCCATGGTGAGTGAGGGTTAAAACTCCAGGCTGGAAGCCACTGGGCCAGCCCATGGTATGTTTTGTTTACTATCGTGTCATTACGATTTTGTGAGTCAACTTGAAGTTACATTACCTGCAAGGATAATATATTAATACAATGGGGTACTTTTATCAACAACATACTTCTTATATATATATATATATATATATATATATATATATATATATATATATATATATATATATATATATATATATATATATATATATATACATAATGTAACCCACCCTGATTCCGTTATTTCAACTTTCAACTAACTATAAAGTATATGGGCGTTGGTGCTCATTTAAGCAAAAATACAGTGTAGTCAGCATAGGAATCGGACAGGTCGACAAGTGTGTCAGTGTCACAGAACTGTACTTGTATCCTGGGTCTCAGACCAAAGGTATAAGACTGGACAGGAGGACAATCATTAGTAATATCAGGAGTGGTAGATGGGTTGTCGCTAGTGTCAGTCTGTACATGAATAGTATTCATTACCGACAAGATAAAAAATAGACACATGTGCAACATCTGGGTATCTTTATTGAAGATGTTTCACCATCCAGTGGCTTTATCAATACAAGGACATAACTGGAAGACAGTAGAACTATATACAAAAGATGATCTTCCCAACGTATCACAACAGACGACAACGCGACTCATGTCATCTCCCACCATAACCTTGCCTCACCAACACTGCTCTTAATGGAGAGCTCCTGAAAATATTAACCCGGATGACAGCCAATAAACTTACACTTAACATTGACAAAACCTTCGATATTATGCTTGGTAACAGAGCAGGTGTTGCACAACTGTACATTATGATCGACAACACTCTCATTGCTAAACATAATGAGGGCAAATTCCTGGGCCTACACTTCGACAGCAACCTGAAATTTAGTAGCCATATCCAACACATAACAAAAAAAGTATTCAAAACAGATGGGATCCTCTCTAAGATAAGTTACCATGTACCATAATCATCCCTACTCACACTATACTATTCACTCATCTATCCTACCTCACATATGCCATTTGTGCCTGAGGATCAACAGCAGCAACCAACCTAAAGTCAATAATAACCCAACAAAAAGCTGCATTGAGAATTATCACTATCCAATACTAGGCAACCCCCCCCCCACTCTTCAAAGACCTAAACTTACTCACTGTACAGAACATCTACACTAACTACTGTGCAACCTACATTTACAGAGCCATAAATTCCAGTATTAACCCTGAACTAAAACACATTCTTGATAGTTGTGACAGGACCCATAGGGATAATACCAGACACAAGAATCTATAACATTCTCCGCGTCTGGCTAAATCTATACAATAATTCAATGTGCCTAAAAAGACCTAAAATCTGGAATTCCCGCCTGAAAACTCTAGAACAGCAGACTCAACCACCATTTCCGAAACTACCGTCAAAAACCTCTTATCTCCCTAACACACCCCACCGTCAACTAAGTACATGAAAACCACCTATTATCTTGTATCATACACACATCCAAAACTCATCCAATACTCTCGATATCTGTGATTCCCCCTAATTTACACTTACATTCACCCAAATGACTGTAAACGCAAAATTCTGAATATAGCTATTGCTTATTAATTCTTAAGTTAGTCATAAGTTTACCTGAGATACTCCAATATAGGAGCTTTAAACTGCGTATCATGCCAAGACAAAACTATCATCATTACTGAATTTACAAACTGTAATATTCTTAAATATTTTGAACTACCTCACAATTGTAAATCTATTTACTCACTACAGTTAACTAACTTTAAGTTCAGTATAATCCATAACCTGTGTCAATATAGAGTAAGAATTAGTATTAGTCTGCCAGAGATGCCAAGGTATGTTAGTGGCCTTCTTTGTAATTAATATTTTGCATATAAACCACACATTGTAATTAATATTGTATAATATATAAACCACACATTGTAATCTTTAGAGAGAAATAAACATTTCAGTTTTATTTTCAATAAGGTAATGAGTGAGTCAGTGTTGGAACTGGTGGAGAACATCGTAGTCATGAAGAGTCTGGAGCACAGGCAAGAAGACTGGTGCTTATATACTGGTGTCAGATGTGTAGCAGACACAGACATTGTCCTCTGAACCTAGATTCCATGATATTGCTGTGTCTGTCAAGTCTGACAGGTTCCGAGGACAATGTCTTCGTCTGCTACCCGTCCCTCACCACCTGGTGCCAGTATATAAGCACCATCCTACTTGCCTGTGTTCCAGTGGAAGGCCTCGGTCAGATGACCGAAAATCTCCAACTGTGGGTCATCATCTGACTAAGACCCACGTCAGGAAACACTTGTCCTGTTTCCTGACAAACCTTACCTTGCCTGTGCTCCAGAGTCTTCACCAACTCCAAGACTGAGACACTTTTGTATATAGTTCTACTGTCTCTCAGTTATGTCCTGGAATTTGTATTGATAAATCCACTGGATGGCGAAACATCTACAATAAAGATACCCAGATGCTGCACATGTGTCTAATTTACAACAGTGTCAGTCTGGTTGCGCTGTTGCAAAGTATATTCTTCCAGCTCAGCTTCGGCTTGCACATTGTCACTGTACTTCACGAGGTCAAGATGATCTTCCTTGGTCGTTCCTGTGGCAATCTCCCTCACCTCAATCTTGTTGCCATGGAACTGTCTGAGGACATGGTAAGCACCAACATTACTTTGCAACCTGGTACAACCTGAATCTCCTTAGCAATAGCGGTACCAACAGATGTAAACTTATTTTTTGCTTTCTTGAGATTTTTCTCGTACTCTCTGAAAGACAAGCCATGAAGTCCGCATCTTGTTTAGGTGAGGCGGAGAAAAGAGAATGTCGTAAGGCAAATGCTTGTCATGGCCATACAATGCAAAATGGAGTGTATTCTGTACATCTGGAATGACCTCATTCCATGTGGCACAACTTGGAGACGATATTGCGATTTTGATTTGTGCGTTCAACATGGCCATTGCTCGCAGGATGGTGTAGAACACCTGACGCCTGTTGAATATCATATCTAGAGAAAGGTACCTACTTACAGTAGGTGTGAGGTGACTAACACCCAGGTACCTACTTATTGCTAGGTGAACAGTGACAACAGGTGGTAAAGCGACTAACCCCCAGGTACCTACTTACTGCTAGATAAACAATGACAGCAGGTGTAAGGTGACTAACACCCAGATACCTCCTTACTGCTAGGTGAATAGTGACAGCAGGTGTGAGGTGACTAACACCCGGGTACCTACTTACTGCTAGGTGAAAAGGGACAGCAGGTGTAAGGTGACTAATACCCAGGCTACCTACTTACTGCTAGGTGAACAGGGGCAGCAGGTGTAAGGTGATTAACACCCAGGTATGTACTGACTGTTAGGTGAACAGGGACAGTAGGTGTGAGGTGACTAACGCCCAGGTACCTACTTACAGTTCTCAGTAGTATCAGTTACCAGTAGTGTCATTAGTAATGACTCATACCAACCATAGCTCTCAGTAGTATCAGTTACCAGTAGTGTCAGTAGTAATGACTCATACCAACCGTTACTGATTCACCACCTCCTGTGTGAATCACTGACTGTTATCACTGACCATTACTGCTGACCTAATATGATCTGTATACCGCTCGCCCTCCAGGCACTCGCCAGGGCAGTTCAAGTTGAGTCATAAGACAGGTCAGGCCTGGCATTCCCATATATTCCATCAAATATATATATACTAGAACATCCGACGTGAGTGCTTATTACCCAATCCATGTTTCAAACCCCACACGACACAGTGACAGCAGGTGAAAAGTGACTAACACCCAGGTACCTACTTACTGCTAGATGAAGTGACAGCAGGTGTGAGGTGACTAACATCCAGGTACCTACTTACTGCTTGGTGAACATGGACAGTAGGTGTGAGGTGACTAACACCCAGGTACTTACTGTTAGGTGAACAGAGACAGTAGGTGTGAGATGACTAACACCCAGGTACCTACTTACTACTAGGTGAACAGGGACAGTAAGTGTGAGGTGACTAACACCCAGGTACCTACTTACTGATAGGTGAACAGTGACAGCAGGTATGCAGTGACTAACACCTAGATACCTACTTACTGCTAAATGAACAGTGACAGCAGGTGTCTTAAGGAAGGTATCAGCTGCTTTCAGCCCTTTCAGCCTGAGGGACAACCCTCTCAGAAAGGGCAATGGCTTCATGCTTGCTTCTGCATCAACACTTTTAATTGGAAACATCTGACCAGCGTGTCATAGATCATGCCACTGCCTTGTGAGAGACCAGTGTTGCAACTAGAGTGGGTTAATGAGAGATAATTAATTTCTTACCTTAGCAGGACAATTAAGGAAACCCTACACCCACTTTATTACCATGTTGAAGATAGCATACACTAATGTCTAGGCCCAGAGAACAAGAAATTAAGCGTCCTGCATTGCTTCCTGGTGGAATTTTGGCAAGCAAGGAAAAAATTGCTTGATCAGCACTTCCTTTGTATCTGGAGATGCCCAGGGTAGCGAGGTGCAGCGAGAGGCGTCATAGGTCAGAATGCTATGAACCACGAGACGAGGAACGTGTTACGTGTGTATTGACCTTAACAAAGGAACTAACAGTGCGCCCTCTGACAACCTCCAAAATAACAGTTGAAATACATAAAAGTGTGTTCAGCTTCTTTAGTGACATTACTGAGAACAAAGAACAAGTATTGGAGAACAATAGTGACAGTGCAAGTGTTACAACTTTCCAGACGAGTGGAGTACGTGTGATATTCCTCAGAAGTTAGTTAGTTTAATATGTTTATTATGCACCCCATACCCATCCTGTGGGCGGTAGTCAAAAGATTACAGAGGTACATAATTGGTCCAGGGACACTATTATTCAATAGACACTGGATACCCGGGTGAATTAATTAAGGGTCCAATACAAATTCCCAGGTAAATCTACCTGGATGTATTGTGGTACAATTGACTGCGCAGTTGAGAACTAATGTATGATCTAGGTAGATTACCATAAACCCGGCAACTGGTGGGTCATCGAGCCCAAACCAAGTACGTGTAACTTCAGTAATCAGTTTCTGAGATGTACTAAATAACACCCCTTTGGGGTAATCATATAATTACACCATTTTCTTAACACAGCCCGACGGATGCATACAACGACTCAAGACACGTCCTTGGAGGCGGCTGCGAGGCTGACAGTTGTTATTCAAGCTGCAGTCCATTTAATTTTTGACTTAGCTTGTTACATTTCCCTGCAATTATTATTATAGGTGAATGAGGTATGTACACAAGACACATAATGTATACAAGACATAATGTATACAGGACACGATGTATACAATACACATGATGTATAAAGGACCCCAATGGAAATAAGTCACTCTGACTTTTTTGGGTTATCCCAGGTTCTCTACACATATGCTGCTATGTAAGATAATTCTATGTAACTGTATTTGTGTATACCTGAATAAACTTACTTACTTAACTTTACTGGTACAGTCAGTATGGAATGTATCGTGGAGGAGATAAGAGCTGCGGTGGTGTGGTCATGTCAGCTGGCCAGACAGCGAGGCAGTCACTGTGTTGTACTGGCGGGCTGGTCTGCCGGGGGACACCTCGTCACACAGGTTAGTCCAACATAACATTTTGTTGTTGTTTATTTAACCCCAGAGGGTTAGCCACCCAGGATAACCTGGGGTAGGGAGGGTTAGCCACCCAGGATAACTCAGGGTAGGGGGTTTAGCCACCCAGGATAACCTGGGGTAGGGAGTGTTAGCCACCCAGGATAACCTGGGGTAGGGAGGGTTAGCCACCCAGGATAACCCAAGAAAGTCAGTGAGTCGTCAAGGACTGTCTGTCTTATTTCCAATGTGGTCCTCAATCTTGTCCCCCAGGATGCCACACACACGAGTCTCCTAACACCCAGGTACCTACTTACTACCAGGTGAACGGGGACAGCAGATGTCAGGTGACTAGCACCCAGGTACTTACTGCTAGTTGAACAGTGACAGCAGATGTCAGGTGACTAACACCCAGGTACCTACTTACTGCTACCTGCCAGTGACTTATAATGAAACTTTACAATTGTTAAGACTTGGATGTCGTAACTTAAATAAAATATTGGTGGCTCCTGAAGGCTGCTGACACTGCTGTCTAGGGCTTATAAATTTACTCTTAAAACACAGCAAACTTTGGGCCATCATGTACTCACATATTAAACAATATTAATTATAATTAGGAAGAACAAAAATTTACCTATATAAAAATATATCAATAATAACTTATATACAACTTATAACTGCTAAAAAAAACCCACCAGACTCCAGTTCACATTAACTCACTAGTACACTGCTAGTAATAGGTTAAATCATCAGGGAGGCACCACGACATACACACCCTCGTCTTCACTTCTGTCTGGTAGACTAATTACCAGCAGGTAATACAGTACTCTCGCATAAACAGGCCTCTGCATACTAGGGCCTGATAAATAAACATGAGAGCACTTAAATACAAACACCTATAGTATACACTAAAAAACTTACCAAAATTACCTACTCAAACTACTGCCCAAACATAATGACTTGACCCCCGTCACCAGCCGACTCGTACTGAACTCAACACACCTCTCATCTGCTCCTGTCCTGGCTACTGCCTGACTCACAGGAATAAAACACGTTCACTTTCAATTCAATCCCGGAACTATTTTTTTTATTATCACACCGGCCGATTCCCACCAAGGCAGGGTGGCCCGAAAAAGAAAAACTTTCACCATCATTCACTCCATCACTGTCTTGCCAGAAGGGTGCTTTACACTACAGTTTAAACTGCAACATTAACACCCCTCCTTCAGAGTGCAGGCACTGTACTTCCCATCTCCAGGACTCAAGTCCGGCCTGCCGGTTTCCCTGAATCCCTTCATAAATGTTACTTTGCTCACACTCCAACAGCACGTCAAGTATTAAAAACCATTTGTCTCCATTCACTCCTATCAAACACGCTCACGCATGCCTGCTGGAAGTCCAAGCCCCTCGCACACAAAACCTCCTTTACCCCCTCCCTCCAACCCTTCCTAGGCCGACCCCTACCCCGCCTTCCTTCCACTACAGACTGATACACTCTTGAAGTCATTCTGTTTCGCTCCATTCTCTCTACATGTCCGAACCACCTCAACAACCCTTCCTCAGCCCTCTGGACAACAGTTTTGGTAATCCCGCACCTCCTCCTAACTTCCAAACTACGAATTCTCTGCATTATATTCACACCACACATTGCCCTCAGACATGACATCTCCACTGCCTCCAGCCTTCTCCTCGCTGCAACATTCATCACCCACGCTTCACACCCATATAAGAGCATTGGTAAAACTATACTCTCATACATTCCCCTCTTTGCCTCCAAGGACAAAGTTCTTTGTCTCCACAGACTCCTAAGTGCACCACTCACTCTTTTTCCCTCATCAATTCTATGATTCACCTCATCTTTCATAGACCCATCCGCTGACACGTCCACTCCCAAATATCTGAATACGTTCACCTCCTCCATACTCTCTCCCTCCAATCTGATATTCAATCTTTCATCACCTAATCTTTTTGTTATCCTCATAACCTTACTCTTTCCTGTATTCACCTTTAATTTTCTTCTTTTGCACACCCTACCAAATTCATCCACCAATCTCTGCAACTTCTCTTCAGAATCTCCCAAGAGCACAGTGTCATCAGCAAAGAGCAGCTGTGACAACTCCCACTTTGTGTGTGATTCTTTATCTTTTAACTCCACGCCTCTTGCCAAGACCCTCGCATTTACTTCTCTTACAACCCCATCTATAAATATATTAAACAACCACGGTGACATCACACATCCTTGTCTAAGGCCTACTATGTTATATAAAATATTTTTTTCTGTTTGTCACTCTGTAACAGTAATGTTTTCCCTAAACCCACAGAATGATAAAGTATATTTGGAAAGGATTTCGGGGGTCAACGCCCCCGCGGCCCGGTCTGTGACCAGGCCTTATGATAGATCAGGGCACGTAAAACGACGTAGGAACCATAGCCTGGCTGGTCAGGTACTGACTTTAGGTGTCTGTCCAGCGCCTTCATGAAGACAGCCAGGGGTCTTGAAGACAGCCAGGGGTCTTGAAGACAGCCAGGGGTCTTGAAGACAGCCAGGGGTCTTGAAGACAGCCAGGGGTCTTGAAGACAGCCAGGTGTCTTGAAGAAAGCCAGGTGTCTTGAAGACAGCCAGGGGTCTTGAAGAAAGCCAGGTGTCTTGAAGACAGCCAGGGGTCTTGAAGACAGCCAGAGGTCTTGAAGACAGCCAGGCGTCTTGAAGACAGCCAGGAGTCTTGAAGACAGCTAGGGGTCTTGAAGACAGCTAGGGGTCTTGAAGACAGCCAGGGGTCTTGAAGACAGCTAGGGGTCTTGAAGACAGCCAGGGGTCTTGAAGACAGCTAGGGGTCTTGAAGACAGCCAGGGGTCTTGAAGAAAGCCAGGGGTCTTGAAGACAGCCAGGTGTCTTGAAGACAGCTAGGGGTCTTGAAGACAGCCAGGTGTCTTGAAGACAGCCAGGGGTCTTGAAGACAGCCAGGGGTCTTGAAGACAGCCAGGTGTCTTGAAGAAAGCCAGGGGTCTTGAAGACAGCCAGGGGTCTTGAAGACAGCCAGGGGTCTTGAAGACAGCCAGGTGTCTTGAAGAAAGCCAGGGGTCTTGAAGACAGCCAGGTGTCTTGAAGATAGCCAGGTGTCTTGAAGATAGCCAGGTGTCTTGAAGATAGCCAGGTGTCTTGAAGATAGCCAGGTGTCTTGAAGATAGCCAGGTGTCTTGAAGATAGCCAGGGGTCTTGAAGATAGCCAGGGGTCTTGAAGATAGCCAGGGGTCTATTGGTAATCCCTCTTATGTATGCTGGGAGACAGTTGATCAGTCTTGGGTCACTGCCGCAGTATCATATCGTATTTAGTGATGTTTGGCGACAAAGTTCTTACCTGACTTGTCACTAATTACTTATTTCTTCTGTCAAAACTTCACATTAAGATCAACCATCTCGGGTTCAGTTTACAATCAGGAAGGACACAACAAAATCCGTGAAGTTCCGGGATGAGTGCATGTAACGAGTGGGGTTCCACAAGGCTCGACACTGGGACTTGGGCTTTGTCTTGTATTCGTGAATGTTATGACGAAAGGTATAAAATCAGAGGTATCTAGAGGTATCCCCCTTAATAAAGATAACAGACCAGCTGACATGGAAAATCCAATGGAATTGTCATCATTGCTGGTAGCAATCAGTAAGGTAAAATGTCACATGTGCAATTAATGTGATATTTTATTGAGACAACGTTTCGCTCTCCGGGAGTTTTATCAAACCACCTTGACAAAGCTCCTGGAGAGTGAAACGTTGCCACAATGAAAATGTTGCAATAGTTGCACGTCTTCGTAAGCCATGCGTGTCGTAAGAGGCGACTAAAGTACCGGAAGCAAGGGGCTAGTAACCCCTTCTCCTGTATACATTACTCAAGTTAAAAAGACAAACTTTTGTTTTTCTTTTTGGGCCGCCCTGCCTGGGTGGGATACTGCCGTTCCGTTGAAAGAAGAAGATAAGATAAGATAAGATTTTCGTTCGGATTTTTAACCCCGGAGGGTTAGCCACCCAGGATAACCCAAGAAAGTCAGTGGGTCATCGAGGACTGTCTAACTTATTTCCATTGGGGTCCTCAATCTTGTCCCCCAGTATGCGACCCACACCAGTCGACTAACACCCAGGTACCTATTTGCTGCTAGGTGAACAGGACAATAGTGTAAGGAAACGTGTCGAAATGTTTCCACCCGCCGGAAATCGAACCCGGGCCCTCCGTGTGTGAAGCGGGAGCTTAGCCACCAGGCCACCGGAATGAGTTGTACATGTGTGTTTTTACCTAACATATTGTGAGTAATTGTACCAATACTACCATTAAGGTGTTGATGAAGGAGAGACGGACAACCTGGAGAAGCTTTGACTCTCTTGCCTGAATCATAAGTTGTTGAGGGAGAATTTCTGTCATCAGGATATTGGATGGTTATGGATGTCCCGTAGCTCGACTGCTAGCTTAGTCAGCTCACACACTGAGGTCCGTGGTTCGATCCCCGGTATGGGTGGAAGCACTAGGACGTGTTTCCTTAAGGCACCTGCTGTCTCTGTTCACCTAGCAGTAATAGGTACCTGGGTGTTAATTGACTGGTGTGGGTGACATCCTGGGACAAAATTAATCTAAGTTGCGGGAAATGTTCTGCATAACCAGGGACTTTCTAGATAGTATGTCATTGATTACTCAGATATGGTAAACACGAGGAAATTAAATCTTCATCAGAGTTAGTGGCCCGGTGGTCTGGTGGCTAAAGCTCCCGCTTCACACACGGAGGGCCCGGGTTCGATTCCCGGCGGGTGGAAATTCCGACACGTTTCCTTACACCTATTGTCATGTTCACCTAGCAGCAAATAGGTACCTGGGTGTTAGTCGACTGGTGTGGGTCGCATACTGGGGGACAAGATTGAGGACCCCAATGGAAATAAGTTAGACAGTCCTCGATGACCCACTGACTTTCTTGGGTTATCCTGGGTGGCTAACCCTCCGGGGTTAAAAATCCGAACGAAAATCTCTTACATAACAAATTCTGGCCACAAAATAGAGCGAAACACCAACGTCAAAGACCTGGGAGTGATCATGTCAGAGGATCTCACCTTCAAGGACCATAACATTGTATCGATTGCATCTGCTAGAAAAATGACAGGATGGATAATGAGAACCTTCAAAACGAGGGATGCCAAGCCCATGATGACACTCTTCAGGTCACTTGTTCTATCTAGGCTGGAATATTGCTGCACACTAACAGCACCTTTCAAGGCAGGTGAAACTGCTGACCTAGAAAATGTACAGAGAACCTTCACGGCGCGCATAACGGAGATAAAACACCTCAATTACTGGGAGCGCTTGAGGTTCCTGAACCTGTATTCCCTGGAACGCAGGCGAGAGAGATACATGATTATATACACCTGGAAAATCCTAGAGGGACTAGTACCGAACTTGCACACGAAAATCACCCACTACGAAAGCAAAAGACTTGGCAGACGATGCAACATCCCCCCAATGAAAAGCAGGGGTGTCACTAGCACGTTAAGAGACTATACAATAAGTGTCAGGGGCCCGAGACTGTTCGACTGCCTCCCAGCATACATAAGGGGGATTACCAACAGACCCCTGGCAGTCTTCAAGCTGGCACTGGACAAGCACCTAAAGTCGGTTCCTGACCAGCCGGGCTGTGGCTCGTACGTTGGTTTGCGTGCAGCCAGCAGTAACAGCCTGGTTGATCAGGCTCTGATCCACCAGGAGGCCTGGTCACAGACCGGGCAGCGGGGGCGTTGACCCTTGGAACTCTCTCCAGGTAAACTCCAGGATGTCAGCTATGGTCTGTATAACCTGGAGTTTACCTGGAGAGAGTTCCGGGGATCAACGCCCCCACGGCCCGGTCTGTGACTAGGCCTCCTGGTGGATCAGAGCCTGATCAACCAGGCTGTTACCAGGGATTTTCTATATAGTATGTCGCTGATGTCAGCTATGGCCTGTATAAGTTGTATCATGTTCTTATAGAAATAAAGATTATTATTATTATTATTGTTATTATTATTATTATTATTATTATTATTATTAGTATTATTATTATTATTATTATTATTATTATTATTTATTCTTTTCTTCATATATGTTCACTCTGATATGCACAGTGTGAGCACCAATAGCATAATAGGTCAGAGACAGAGGATCGCACCCCCACCACTTCTCGTGCTGACTCATACTGATTTAGTGATTCCAATCTGATGTGTATATAACATGGCAATATATGATATGACAATCTGATATGTAAAAAAAATATCTAATTTTCAGGCACTGATGCCAGGCTCGGGACAGGAGCTGCCTGACAACACTGACACGTCTCTATACAAAGACATTATCCGCGGTGTAGTGACTGTCAGTGGCGTCTTTGACCTCCGTCCGCTGGTTAACACTTACGTTAACGCACCTCTCCATCTTACAGAGTGAGTTTTCAACAGATGTTGTTCTTTGATGTAGTTTGATGGGCGTATTGGAGCCCCACCCACTGGTTAGCACCTACGTCAATGGACCTTTTCACCTGTCATAGTTAAAACACTACATATATTTCAGTGGCTGCTTCATCCGGGAAAGTATCCTTGTATGTCATAAGCCAGCTCCCCACCCCCCTCTCTTCCTTAATACAGTAATATGGAGGCTTCTGGCTACCCTTGTGGGGTGGAAGTTTGAACAGAAATGTCCGGAAATGGCTTAGCAAGGGCGTGACTTTGTCGTTGATGTTTCTTTGGTTTCTGCCATCGTTGTGGCCAGGGAAGTGACTCCTGGGTTCCTTGATACTGTGGCCTCCTTTGGACGACGCTGCCGCTCGGTGCTGAAGGCTCTACTTGGTAATGGAGGTCGGACAGCCGGGGTTTTCCATGTTGCCCTGACTCAACAGAACCTCTCCGGACAGTGTAGGTTCCAGGCATGATGCTTCTTACCACAGTTCGGACACCGAGGTTCCATAGCCTCAACTCCACTTACTTTACCGAAACAGGTTTTGGTCGGGTGAGACCCGCCGTAGATTTCGCTTTTTTCCTTAAACTGACATCTGGCACTGAGGTGGTTGTACCTGTGGCACTTGAAGCACCTCAAAGGTTCTGGGTTGTATGTCTTAACTTGGTGTTTCCCCTAGCAAATGAGATCCAGTTAAGCTAGATGTCCTTATGTTGGGTCAAGACCTTGACCCAACATAGAGCCGCTCAACTTTCAGGATGTTTTTGTTAGGATGGACTTCATCGAGAGGCACGTCTAGCAGACAGCGCATTATTACGCCTTTTGTTACCCGCTCTATGGATTTTGGTTTTACTAGAATAAGTGGTGATTCGAGGTGGTTCACCTTCTGCAGTACCTTATAGCACTCTGTTTCACGAGTGAGAATAAACTCTCCTTTCAGATATGTGGCATATTTCTTCTTGAGGTTAATAAAAGGACCCCAATGGAAATAAGTCACTCTGTCTGACTTTTTTGGGTTATCCAGGTTCTCTACACATATGCTGCTATGTATGATAATTCTATGTAACTGTATTTGTGTATACCTGAATAAACTTACTTACTTACTTACTTACTTACTTACTTGTAGCAGCCCACCGGGTGTCATGGTGTATTATGTTAATCAACTTGAATTTGTTGCCTGCGGATGGTTTGGCTTGCCCAGTTTGAGACATAGAAACACTGTCTCCTCCTGGACTTCTGGGAGTGTACTTCCTGTCAACCTTCTCTATGCAGTATTTCTATGGTTGGTGTGAACATATCTTGATCCATCCCTGTATCACTGTTTTCACTGGCCTGGCTGCTTTCACTTGTCTTGCTATCCAGCGAATGCCAGAATTGCACCCAACATTTCTTCATCCTAGTCCTTGCTGTGTTCTTGAAACATCCTCGTGTCCTCTTCCTTTTGAAAGAAGCCGTGTGTAACAGCTGTTAAGTGCGGGAAGGGTACAAGTTCAGGTAGGTTTTCCAGGAAGGGTTCTTCCCCGGGTCTTCATGCGGTAACCTGGGAGTGGCTTCCGAAATAATGTGGGAGTTTGTACAAGTGATGTACCGCTTACAGCTTTATTGCAGAGGCAACCTTATGACAAGAACACGGTGAGCCTTCTTTGTGCCCAGTGGAGCACCATTTACAGCTCTATGACAGGAGAAGCCTTATGACCAGGGCACAGTAAAGGGAAGGGAGCCAGAATATATAAGAAAGGGAGCAGGAACAGGAGTAGTGTAACTAGATGAGGGAATAGTATTCAATTCGTAATAGTAGTGGTTGTGGTAGCAATCGTAGTAGTGGTAGTAGTAGTAGTAGTAGTAGTGCAATACACAAATAACCCGCACATAAAAGAGAGAAGCTTACGACGACGTTTCGGTCCGACTTGGACTTTGTCAGTGGTCCAAGTCGGACCGAAACGTCGTCGTAAGCTTCTCTCTTTTATGTGCGGGTTATTTGTGTAACGTTCCAGTCACGGTATTGTGCCTTTTTTGTTATTAGTAGTGCAACAGTAATAGAGGTGGCGATAAGAAGGAAGTAGTTGTAGCGAAAAGAGTGCCAGAGGATGGAATCTCTAGCCTCTGGCATTCTCTTCACTACCATTACTTTCTCTATTACTACTACTACTACTACTACCACTGTAATACTATTCCTCTGGTTACACTACTCCCATCCCCACCCCTTCTCATATATATATTAGGTCTCTTCCCTTCAAGCACATCCATCAGGCTGCAGATAAATGGCATCAGTGTGGCCTGGACAAATAGTTATCCGTACTTAGTCATCTACGTCAACCAATGACTTTCCTTCCAGAAGCACACAGAGTACGTCAGGAAGCGAGCTCTCCAGAGAGTCATGGCTATGTCTGAAGTGGCTGGCAATAGGGCGAAAGCCAGCCAAGAAGTCCTGAGAATGTTCTATATACATGCCGTGCACTCACTTGTGCACTACGGAGCACTTGCACTAGTACACACCAACCCCTCCAGAAGCCTGAGCCATGCTAGGAGCGCCCAGATAGGTTAACGAAGTCACCGTCAACCAAGAGGCCCAGCTGAGCCTTCCAAAGGAAAGGACAGGTTTCATTGCTCAAATCTCATTGATAGTATGATTTGGCAAAATGCCAGAAATTTATTCCTTCCCCCAATGCTTACACGGACCAGGGAGAAACGAGTGGCCGTTCACCGACTACGACTTGGATTCATGATCTCAGCGCATATCGTTGAGCAATGAAGAAGGGAAGTGTGTGTCCACTGTGAGCACATGGTTGAACTCCCACTTATACACTACCTGCTGGACTGTCCTGCCACGACTCCCCTACGCAAAACAGACTTCCCAAAACAGACCGTCGGACAGACCCGGAAGGCTTGGGCAGCACACCTTGTGTATCTTGCAGAACCTGAGGATGTTGCTGCCTGCCACCCAACGCCGCGATAAAAACCTAATGACACTCTCCCTATGGGGAACTACTACCGGGTCACCACATGGAGAAGACCCGGGCCAGGATGTCCTGGCGAACCTACCTGTATCTTTATACTCCAGCTTCGTATCGTTCCAGACCATGGAGGTGAAATTTCCAGGCTAAGGGACTGACCACCTCAAATACTCTTTATCCAAGGTTAATGGACTGATTACATCAATTTTATTTCACTACTACTCCTGCTCCCTCTGTATTTGACTGAAGAAGCCTACCGTGTAGGCGAAACGTTTCATAAATAAAGGTACTCAACTCTTGCGCATGTGTCTTAATCTTCATTATTATTATTATTATTATTATTATTATTATTATTATTATTATTATTATTATTATTATTATTATTATTATTATTATTATTATTCTCTGGCAGGAGGAGCGCATGGAAGTTGTCGCCCCTGGCCAGCGTGAAGGAGCTAGGACGAGCATGGTCACCACTGAGTATCTTGGTGACGGTGGGTCAACATGACTCTCCTGAATTCAAGAGGCAGTCTGAAGAGTTCTGTCAGGTGAGGCATGGGGGGGGGGGTAGGGGGAAGGGAAGCTAGAAGGAAGGGAAGGATGGCAGAGGGAAGAAGATAGATATGGACCCTGGAGGGTCAGTCAGTACGCCTCTCTAGGCTGTGACGACAGTCTGCAGAGTTTTGGAAATACTAGAATTCAAACTTATTCCCCCATCCTTTTCGAGGTTACTATTATAGTGAATGATTAACATATGTAGTGTTATACTTGGGTAGTCTTATAGTTATATAATGTAGGAACACCTGTAGTTGCCATGTTTCACCCAAGGTTGTGTGTTAGGGCTCTGGTGGCCTGGAGGTTAACGCTCTCGCTTCACACGGCGAGGGCCTGGGTTCGATTCCCAGCCAGAGTAGAAACATTGGACGTGTTTCTTTCCACCTGTTGTCTATGTTCCCCATCAGTAAAATGGGTACCTGGGTGTTAGTGGACTGGTGTGGGTCGCATCCTGGGACACTGACCTAATTTGCCCGAAATGCGGAGCATAACAAGGGGCTTTCTATATAGTAGTATGTCATTGTTGTCAGCTAGAACTGTATACCTTGTACATGTACTTGTAGTAAATAAAGATATTATTATTATTATTATTATTATTATTATTATTATTATTATTATTATTGTAGGAACACCTGTAGTTGCCATGTTTCACCCAAGGTTGTGTGTGGTAACCTGCAACGTGCTCGACTATGATAATTAATAATAATAATAATAATAATAATAATAATAATAATAATAATAATAATAAGCTTTGTTTCTACAAGTACATGATACAACTTATACAGACCATAGCTGACATCAATGACATACTATATAGAAAGTCCCTGGTTATACAGACCATAGCTGACATCACTGACATACTGTATAGAAAGTCCCTGGTTATACAGACCATAGCTGACATCACTGACATACTATATAGAAAGTTCCTGGTTATACAGACCATAGCTGACATCAGTGACATACTGTATAGAAAGTCCCTGGTTATACAGACCATAGCTGACATCAATGACATACTATATAGAAAGTCCCTGGTTATACAGACCATAGCTGACATCAATGACATACTATATAGAAAGTCCCTGGTTATACAGACCATAGCTGACATCACTGACATACTATATAGAAAGTTCCTGGTTATACAGACCATAGCTGACATCAGTGACATACTGTATAGAAAGTCCCTGGTTATACAGACCATAGCTGACATCAGTGACATACTGTATAGAAAGTCCCTGGTTATACAGACCATAGCTGACATCAGTGACATACTGTATAGAAAGTCCCTGGTTATACAGACCATAGCTGACATCAATGACATACTGTATAGAAAGTCCCTGGTTATACAGACCATTTCCCACAACTTAGGTAAATTTTGTCCCCCAGGATGCCACCCGCACCAGTCCACTAACACCCAGGTACCTACTTACTGCTAGGTGAATAGGAACAGCAGGTGTAAGGTGACTAACACCCGGGTACCTACTTACTAGTAGGTGACTAGGGACAGCAGGTGTCTTAACTTTTCCACTGTCCAGACCCCTAGATCTGGAATTTGTCCATAGCGTCCATGAATTTAAAAAAAAAAAAGTATTTATTCTTATGAAATGGTAGAGAATCTTTTTCTGAAAGTAACAAAAATAGTACAAAATGTGATAGAAAACTGACAAAATGTGATAGAAAACTGACAAAATGTGATAGAAAACTGACAAAATGTGATAGAAAACTGACAAAATGTGATAGAAAACTGACAAAATGTGATAGAAAACTGACAAAATGTGATAGAAAACTGACAAAATGTGATAGAAAACTGACAAAATGTGATAGAAAACTGACAAAATGTGATAGAAAACTGACAAAATGTGATAGAAAACTGACAAAATGTGAAAGAAAACTGACAAAATGTGATAGAAAACTGACAAAATGTGATAGAAAACTGACAAAATGTGAAAGAAAACTGACAAAATGTGATAGAAAATTGACAAAATGTGATAGAAAACTGACAAAATGTGAAAGAAAACTGACTAATTTCGTTGTAACAGCGATATTTACGCCCTGAAGATTTTGCCCATTTTGAGTCCTACTTTAGGCCAATTACAGTGTTCCTGTAGACCAAATTCTTAGTTATTTCGCTAATATGACTGAGAAAAAGAAAGTTACCAATCAACTATTTCAACTACCCAATAAAGTGATCAGAAATTGGTAATTTGGCCACTTTCACACAGATCTCAAAATATTTCAGTGTTACAATAACATTTCCTCTGTCCATTAATTACTTTCCCAGGCTTTACACCTGAATTCCATTTTGATTTTTGATTTACACACAAAATAGAAGATTTACTGTTAAGTAATATTGAAATAATTGTATAAATATTATCAATACATTCGTGAACGCAAATTAGACTCACCAGTTGATAAGATAAGATAAGATAAGATAAGATTTCGTTCGGATTTTTAACCCCGGAGGGTTAGCCACCCAGGATAACCCAAGAAAGTCAGTGCGTCCTCGAGGACTGTCTAACTTATTTCCATTGGGGTCCTTAATCTTGTCCCCCAGGATGCGACCCACACCAGTCGACTAACACCCAGGTACCTATTTGCTGCTAGGTGAACAGGACAACAGGTGTAAGGAAACGTGTCGAATGTTTCCACCCGCCGGGAATCGAACCCGGGCCCTCCGTGTGTGAAGGGCCTGATATCATTTGTTTACTCTTGAACATTGCAGGAAATCGAACATTTCCGCTATTTTAAGCTCGATTTCAAGCTATTTTCGATCCTAAAACCATTCAAAATAATCTCGATTGTTATAATATATCTTCCACTCTATCAAATGAGACCAAGAAACCGGGAATACAACCATAAAAAACATACAAAAATACACTGCAAAGTCACTGTTTTAAACCAAAAACCCCGTCGCAGGAGTTGTTTTATATGGTGCACACTTACCACATAGACCTATTCTCTCATATCTAGGCCTAAATTTACCTCACAACTTATGTGAGTAAGCTCAGCTCATCTGGAATTACCTAGAGAGGGTTTCAGTGGTCAGTCCCCCCACAGGCCGGTCTGTGACCAGGCTTCATGGTGGATCAGGGCCTGATCAACCATCACGTGGTACTACGGCATAGTCAGCAACAGGGTTAAGAAAACACGCCCTAATGTTTCCATTCGTACCGGTGATCGAACCACGAGCCTCAGTGTATGAGCTGAGTGCGCTACCAACTCAGCCACGGGACACGAGACAAACACTGCTGTCCCAGCTGGTGTGCCATTAACAATTCAACCCTCACAAGTCTATAATAACAATAACAAGTTTATTTCAGCATGATAATGTTTGTACAAAAGAATGTAACAACTGGATGAACATACCAAAACTCCTTTTTATATGTAGAATATTTCTGGCAAACTTAAGACTGACTTAAGATAAATAAGACAATAACAGTGTTGCAATTTAACATATTGTCACTAGGTGAGTTAGAGTTAATACAACAAAATTTAATATTGAACTAGTTTGTGAAAGTTTGTCTGGGCTGCCTCCAAGTGAGTCGCCTACCCTGGCAAACTCTGTTGACACCGAGTTCTGAGGTCGGTACCTCAGTCTCACAAGTGGCTTATAGGACAGATTTTCACAAATGATTGATGTTGCAAGAAACTCGCCTGCATGCACGTATAAAGGACTAACTTACTTGGTGTTGCAGCATATATCCTGATCTTCAACTTCCCTAAGCTTAGCCTTAGCCCCTCTGGACTTCCCCTCAGAAACCACGTGCAACTGGGAGCCTTAATTCCTGCAATATTCAATCGTTATTAGTGACCTGCCTGCACCTCAGAAATTCCTAAACCCAAAGGGGGGTGTGTATCTCCTAGTACAACTATGCAACACGGACCCCTAGCTTCTAGGTAGAAAAAGAGACACGGGTACATACTGGGAAATGCACTGCCAGCTGCATACAGGCCTACAGTTCAACTCACTCACAATTTTTCCCCCAGACACTGGCCAGAAATCCTAAGAGAAGTAGAGGTTTTGTCTTACTGTAGGGGTCTGACGGAGGAGGTCATCTACGTTACATCGAGTGCCTCTACAGATTTCCCCAGGTCTAAAAATGTGAAACACGTGGGGGCGCCGTCTGCTGATCATGGCACTCTTGTCCATTTTGGTGTCTGTCTAGAGAAGGACGCTATTGTGTCTTTGAACCCAGCGCCTCGAAAGTTCAAACAAGGCTGCCAGTTCTCCCTACTAAATTAACCTAAATGTTTGCCTACATTATCGGCCTATTACTACCTATGTTAAGGTCTTAGGTCTACATTATTATTATCTACAGTTGCCTCAATAATCCTAATATTAGTGTACTAACAGTAAACTACCTACTTCTTCCCTGAAGGGTAAATCTATAAATTAATAAGTGCCTACCATCCATGCCAACTCTGGAGAGAATGCTTTTGTTTGGGTGGGTTTAAGGGCCACCCAGCTCAGCCGTTCCATTACGGCCTTGCTGGGACCTCTTTGTACGCCGTATCTGTCCTGTGGAACTTTAGGGACCAAATAAATTTCCACTTAGTTCATGCTAAATGGCTTTAGTAAATTCAGTAGAGAATAATTAATTTTGATATTGTAAATAAAAAATACAGTATTACAATTTATCTCTATTTAAAACAATGAAATTGAAAGAAATTTAAGTTTGATGTAATTATTAAATAGTTAAGCAGTGATAAATTATTTAGGAGTTTTTTGAGTAACTGGCAGATGTTAAGTAAAGTGTCTGGTTAATTTTGAGTGATGAGGTGATTTCTAAGTTGGACCTTAAACTGACTTGCAGACAGCAGTTCCAGATCTTCTGGCACTTTATAGTATTTTTGTACAGGGACACCAGGGATATCGAAGAGTGATTATGTCTTGTATTATGTCTTAGTTTAATATATTTATTATGTACCCTATACCCATCCTGTGGACAGTCTGTGTTCTGTTGTAGTTATTAAGGAGGAGTTTAAGAGGAGGGTTTTATTGTTTTTTTTTTTATTTGGTTTGCCGGTACTTCCAGCCCGGGTCTTCTCCAGATGGCGACCCGGCGGTGGCCCCCGGGTTGGGGGTGTCCTCCATCTTCTTTATTTTGTCTTCTTTCTTGGGCCCTCCGGCTGGAGGGTGGAGAGGAGGGTTAATATTTAATGTTGTGTGTGTGTAATAGGCACAATAATAAGTGTGGATGTTCTGTATATTAAGCAAATTAAGGCTCTTAAAATGAGGTGGAGAGTACTGTCTTGTGCAGGAGTTGGTAATCAATCGCACTGCAGCTTTTATTGGGTTATTAAAGTTTTAAGGTGATTTGCTGTGATTGATCCCCATGTACAAATACCATAGGTGAAGTAATTGTTTTGGAGACTTTCTTGGATATTTGCTGTATGTGGGTCTGAAATCTGAGACTGCAGTCAAGGTGGAGACCTAGAAATTTGCCCTGTGTGTGCCTTGAAATGGTATCTACTGTGACAAGGGATTTCCTGACGTGCTTGGCTAGGTGTGGGTTCCAAACTAGTGCTGTATACTCCAATGTGTGTGTGTGTGTGTTGATCTGACGAGTGTGTGTTTTGCAGGAATGTGTGAAGGCTGGTCTCAAAGCCGAGTACCTGGAGGTGGAGCTTGCAGACCACTTCAGCATCACTGAGGACTTATCCAAGGAAGACTTCAGCCTCACACAAAGACTCATCTCCTTCCTGAAGACCTGCGACCACATGCACAAAACCAAGCTACCCACAAAGGCTTAACTCTCCCCAAGGTCACATTACTCAAAGCCAGAAGTCTGAATAACCCACATGACTTATGTACTATCCAGGAATATAAAATTATATTAACAATCACCTAAGACACTATGTATAAAACTATTCAAACAAGTCATTGTTTTATCAATGTTAAGTTAGTCTTAAGTTTGCCCGAAATACTGTGCTTTCTGCATGTTTACCTAAGTGTAATTCATCTTATTCTGCCCGAAATACCTAGTCATGCTAGGTGTGATAGTGGCCCTCTCTGTAATTAGTTATATATAATATGTAAACCACACATTGTAATCTTTATAGAGAATAATCTTCATTTGATTTGATTTGTACAAACATTATATCAAGCTGAAGTGAATTATCTTATCTTAATTATAGCCGCTGTTAGAAGATAAATATTGGACAAGATAATGTAGATAGAAGCCAGGGCGTTTGGAGTCATATGGAAACTATAATACATTCTTATTAGTTGGTGTCCCGTGGCTGGGTTGGTAGCACACTCAGCTCTCATATTGAAATCCTTGGTTCGATCCCAGGTACGGGTGAAAACATTGAGACCCGGTGGCCTGGTGGCTAAAGCTTCCGCTTCACACACGGAGGACCCGGGTTCGATTCCCGGCGGGTGGAAACATTTCGACACGTTTCCTTACACCTGTTGTCCTGTTCACCTAGCAGCAAATAGGTACCTGGGTGTTAGTCGACTGGTGTGGGTCGCATCCTGGGGGACAAGATTAAGGACCCCAATGGAAATAAGTTAGACAGTCCTCGATGACGCACTGACTTTCTTGGGTTATCCTGGGTGGCTAACCCTACGGGGTTAAAAATCCGAACGAAATCTTATCTTATCTTATCTTTCCTTAACACACCTGCTGTCCCTGTTCACCTAGAAGTAGATACCTGGGTGTTAGTGGACCGGTGTGGTTCGCATCCTGGGACAAAATCAACCTAGGTTGCGGGAAATGCTCTGACGCCAAATGACTTCAAACAGGCGATAAATGACATGCCCATGCACTCTGCCCCAGGGCCAGACTCATGGAACTCCGTGTTCACCAAGAACTGTAAGAAGCCCCTATCACGAGCCTTTACCATCCTATGGAGAGGGAGCATGGACACGGGGGTCGTCCCACAGTTACTAAAAACAACAGACATAGCCCCACTCCACAAAGGCGGCAGTAAAGCAACAGCAAAGAACTACAGACCGATAACACTAACATCCCATATCATAAAAATCTTTGAAAGGGTCCTAAGAAGCAAGATCACCACCCATCTAGAAGCCCATCAATTACACCAACCCAGGCAACATGGGTTTAGAACAGGTCGCTCCTGTCTGTCTCAACTATTGGATCACTACGACAAGGTCCTAGATGCACTAGAAGGCAAAAAGAATGCAGATGCAATATATACAGACTTTGCAAAAGCCTTCGAAAAGTGTGACCATGGGGTAATAGCGCAAAAAAATGCTGCTAAAGGAATAACAAGGAAAAGTTGGTCGATGGATCTATAATTTCCTCACAAACAGAACACAAAGAGTTGTAGTCAACAGAGTAAAGCCCGGGCAGCTAGGGTGAAAAGCTCTGTTCCACAAGGCACAGTACTCGCTCCCATCTTGTTCCTCATCCTCATATCTGACATAGAAAAGGATGTCAGCCACAGCACCTTGTCTTCCTTTGCAGATGACACCCGAATCTGCATGACAGTGTCTTCCATTGCAGACACTGCAAGGCTCCAGCGGACATAAAACCAAATCTTTCAGGGGGCTGCACAAAACAATATGAAGTTCAACGATGAGGAAATTTCAATTACTCAGATATGGTAAACACGAGGAAATTAAATCTTCATCAGAGTGCAAAAAAAAATTCTGGCCACAGAATAGAGCGAAAAACACCAACGTCAAAGACCTTGGAGTGATCATGTCGGAGGATCTCACCTTCAAGGACCATAACTGTATCAATCGCATCTGCTAGAAAAATGACAGGATGGATAATGAGAACCTTCAAAACTAGGGATGCCAAGCCCATGATGACACTCTTTAGGTCACTTGTTCAAACTAGGCTGGAATATTGCTGCACACTAACAGCACCTTTCAAGGCAGGTGAAATTGCCGACCTAGAAAATGTACAGAGAACCTTCACGGCGCGCATAACAGAGATAAAACACCTCAATTACTGGGAGCGCTTGAGGTTCCTAAAACTGTATTCCCTGGAATGCAGGAGGGAGAGATACATGATTATATACACCTGGAAAATCCTAGAGGGACTAGTACCGAACTTGCACACGAAAATCACTCACTACGAAAGCAAATGACTTGGCAGACGATGCAACATCCCTCCAATGAAAAGCAGAGGTGTCACTAGCACGTTAAGAGACCATACAATAAGTGTCAGGGGCCCGAGACTGTTCAACTGCCTCCCAGCATACATAAGGGGATTTACCAACAGACCCCTGGCAGTCTTCAAGCTGGCACTTGACAAGCACCTAAAGTCGGTACCTGACCATCCGGGCTGTGGCTCGTACATTGGTTTGCGTGCAGTTAGCAGTAACAGCCTGATTGATGAGGCTCTGACCACCAGGGAGGGGCCCGGTCACAGACCAGGCCGCTGGGGCGTTGACCCCCGGAACTCCCTCCAGGTAAAACCAGGGGCTTTCTATATAGTTGTCACGATGTCAGCTATGGTCTGTATAATCTGGGACATATATATAATATAATATATATATATATAAATATATATATATATATTTTATAATATATATATATATATATATATATAATGTCATTGATGTTCAGCTATGCTGTATAAGCTGTATAATGTACTTGTAGAAATAAACAGTTATTATTATTATTATTATTATTATTATTATTATTATTATTATATATTAATGGTCAACAGATCTGATAACTAGAAGGAATAGACAGAAGGCAACACATGGGTATGTATATCTGGGAGACATTTCGCCCACTTGTGACTTGATCACTCCATTACAGTTAGTGATACTGGAGATGGTAGAAGACGTAAAGTGGTAGATTGATGTGATCAATCCCTAAGCCTTGATGAATCTGTTGTTGATGATATACGATGCAAGAAGACCTTGACGTGTTCATTCCAACAATCTTGTAATGAACATGTCTTTTCAACCTTGAGAAACTGATCATCTTGAAGCTCTTCCTCATGTCTCCTACCGTCTCCGGTATTGTATATAAACAATTTATTCACGAACCTTGACAATTGATACCAACAAAGTGGTTTAAGAAGATATTTTTATTAAAAAACATTGACATTGACGACTTTTTGAAGTCTTCGTTAGAAGTAATCAAGGTTGAAGGTCCTTCGTTGTGGCATTCCAATCATTCTTTAAGCCCATGGTACTATGAGTGTATGGGCTACTGTGGTATAAACCTTGGTAATACCATCTTGTCTGACACTACAACACACTATGGTAGGTAAGACACAAGCAACAGTTTGGCAACTTTATTCCGAAACGTTTCGCCTACACAGTAGGCTTCTTCAGTCGAATACAGAAAGTAGGCAGGAACAGTAGAGATGTGAAGACGATGTAATCAAGTCTCTTCTGCTTCTATCAACTTTTCTGTACCCGACTGAAGAAGCCTACTGTGTAGGCGAAACGTTCGAAATAAAGATACCTAACTGTTGCATGTGTCTTACCTAACAACCTGTCGGTATTTTATACCATTTTAATGTTCAATCTGTCAGACACTGCAACACAAGGGTATCTTGGTACAAACCTGCAATCAACTTCGACAACCTCTACTAGTGAGAACGGCTGGATTTTGAGAGGGACCTGACCTCCCAACATCTCGTTCTTACTTCTACTAGTGACCTACGTCTCACCTCCTGGCGCTATATAAGGCTCCATCCTGTCACTTCAACTCCATATTGTTTCGACTATGGAACAATGCTCTTCTCCAGACTGAGGGACTGACCACCTCAAAACTTTAAGGTGATGGATGATTACATCGTCTTCAAGTCTAAAAATTTGTGTCTCAAGTCTCTTCTGCTTCTATCAACTTTTCTGTACTCGATGAAGAATGAAAAGTTAAGACACATGTGCAACATCTGGATTCTTTATTGTAGTAGACGTTTCCCCATCCAGTGGCTTTATCAATACAGATTCTAGGACATAATAGGAAACAGTAGAACTAATACAAAAGATGAGGTAATCAGTCCCTCGGCCTTGGAGTTTTTGTTCACAGCATCGTGGTTTGGGGGAGAATCTGGAGCAAAGACAAGACACTGGCGGTTTATATAGGCGTCAGTGGATAGGGACGGGCAGCAGACGAGGGCAAAGTCACTGGTAGGCGGGATTCCCCAGTGGAAGTAGGTCCTTCCCAGAAGCCTACTGTGTAGGCGAAACGTTTCGAAATAAAGATACCTAATATGTGTCTTACCTAACAACCTGTCGGTATTTTATACCATTTTAATGTTCAATCAGGTCCTTCACCCTTTAAGTCGTGATGGACTGATTACATCGTCTTCACATCTCTACTGTTACTGCCTACTTTCTTATATTCGACTGAAGAAGCCTACTGTGTAGGCGAAACGTTTCGGAATAAAGTTGCCAAACTGTTGCCTATGTGTCTTACCTACCAACCTGTCGGTATTGTATACCATTTTGATGTTCACAACACACTATGGACATAGCATAAGCTGCTGTACCATCATGGCATAACATGGTTCCATTTCAGTTCGATGTTCTTGAGAAATCTTGGTTATCGATGAAGCGATGGGTATCTTGGTTTTAGTGTTGTCCGAAGCCCAAAGAGGGTCTTGAGGTAATGGTCTCGTCAGCCTCATCATCACGAAAACAGTCTACGATAAAGGGGTCCTTGAGTGAATAGGCTACAGAGTCGGACGTAGAGACTGTTCTCGAGTGTCGTAGCCAGGGTCATCTTCATGACAGGTTCCATGAAATGGTCTTATCCTCACATAACCTGAAGAACATAAGGAGAATATATGGTTGGAGAGAGGAAGTAAGAGAGGTGTAATGTGCGTGAGGTAATGTGAATGGTGTAGATGGCAAAAAGCCACAAGACCTCCTTCTCCTCTTTCTATCTTGTAAAAACTACTCTCCTCTACTTTTACTAGTAATTCCACTACTTCCTTTTCTTCCTCTCCTGTTCCCGTCTATGGATGGTTTTTTTACTTTTTAAGAAT